ATCATTTCAATAGATGTAGAGAATGCATTTGACCAAATCCAACACTCTTTTACAATAATAACAAAAAAACAACAAACACTCAATGAACTGGGAATTAAAAAAAAGTTCTTCTTCTGATAAAGGTTGTGAAAATTCCACAGCTATCATACTTGCAGCATGCCCCCTAGCGCTGGGAGAAGACAAGGACTTCTCTCTTCACCACTTCTATTCAACATTGTATACTGCAAATTGCGTCCAGGGCAATTAAGGCAGAAAAAGAGATAAAATGGCATCAAGATTGGAAGGGAATAAATGAAATTACCTCTATTTGCCCATGATATAATGTTTTCAAAATTCAAAGTAGTGCAGCTACTTTGGAAAACTGGCAGTTTCTAAAAAAAAAAAAATCCAAAGGAATCCACAAAAGTAATTTAAGAGCTATTAAACAAGTTCAATAAGGTTGCAGAATATAAGATTATTATACAAAAATCAATTACATTTTTATATACTGGCATGAAACAATCAAAAAATGAAATTAAGAAAACAATTTCATTTATAGTAATATCAGAAATAATAAAATACTTAGCAAAAATTTAACAAAAGAAGTGCAAGACTTGTACATTATAAATAACAAAACTTAACTGAAAAAAAATTAAAGAAGACCTAAATAGATGGAAAATCATCCCCTGTTCATGAATTAGAAGACTTAGTATTGTTAAGATGGCAATACTCCCCAAACTGATTTTCAGATTCAAGCCAGTTCCTATCAAAATCTCAGCTTCTTGTTTTGTAGAAATTGACAAGCTAGTTCTAAAATGTCTATGAAAATGCAAGAGACCCAGAATAGCCAAAGCAATCTTGAAAAAGAACAACTTGGAGGACACACACTCGCCAGCTTCAAAACTTAATGCAAAGCTACAGTAATCAAGACAGTGTGGTACAAGCATGTGGATAGATATATAGATCCATGGAGTAGAATTGTGAGTTCGGAAATAAATGCATGGCTAGGGGCAGTGGCTCACACCTGTAATCCTAGCACTCTGGAAGGCTGAGGCAGGAGGATTGCTTGAGGCCAGGAGTTTGAGACCAGCCTGAGCAAGAGTGAGACCCTGTCTCTACTAAAAATAGAAAATAGTGGGGTCTTAGTGCGCACCTGTAGTCCCAGCTACTTTGGAGCGGGGTGGAAGGATGGCTTGAGCACATGAGTTTGAGGTTGCAATGAGCTAGGCTGATGCCCAGCACTCTAGCCAGGCGACTGAGCAAGACTGAAAAGAAAGAAAGAAAGAAAAAGAGGAGAAAGAGAAGAGAGAAGAGAGAGAAGAGAAGAGAAGAGAAGAGAGAGAAGAAAGAAAGAAAGAAAAAGAAAGAAGAAGAAGAAAGAAAGAAAGAAAGAAAGAAAGAAAGAAAGAAAGAGAAAGAGAAGAAAGAAAGAAAAGTGTGTTTGTGGACAATTGATTTTCAACAAGGGTGCCAAGACAAAGGGGAAAGAATATTCTTTTCAATAACTGATATATCATACAAAAATAATGCAGTTGGATGCACTCCTCACATCATATGCAAAAATTAACTCAAAATGGATCATAGGTTCTAAAATTGATGTAAGTTCTAAAATTACAAAACTCTTAGGAGAAACATCTTTATGACTTTTGATTAGGAAATGGATTCTTGGATATGACAGCAAAGCAAAACACCAGGGACAAAAGAAAGACTAGATAAATTAGATAGTAATAGATAAATTAAAAACTTTTGTGCTTCAAAGGACATCATCAAAAAAGTGAAATGACAACCCACTTAAGGGTTTAAAATATATGTAAGTTATATATATGATAAGGGCTTTGTACTTACAATATATAAAGAATACTTACAACTCAGTAATAAAAAACAGAATAACCCAATTTTTAAAATGGGCAAAGTATCACAAATGTCTTTCTCTCAAGAAAATATATAAATGGCCACTTAGCACATGAAAAGATGTGCAATATGATTTGTCATTAAAGAAATGCAAATCAAAACCACAATAAGATACCACATCACACCCACCAGAATGCTTATAATAAAAAAAAAAGGCAGATTATAATAAATGTTGGTGAGATTGTAGAGAAATTGGAGCCCTCATATATTGCTGGTGGGAATATGAAATTGTGCAGCTACTTTGGAAAACTGACAGTTTTTCAAGAAGTTAAACATAAAGATACCATATGAGCCAGTAATTCCACTGTTAGATGTACACTCAAGAAAACAGAAAACATATTCACACAAAAACTGGTACATGATTTTCATAGCAGCACTTTTCATAAGAGCACAGTGGAAACAATTCAAATGTCCATCTACTCATAAATTGGGTAAACAAATGTGGTATATCCATCCCATAAAAATGAATAAAATACTGATAACATGCTATATCGTTGATGAATTTTAAAAACATTATGCTAAGTGAAAGACACATAAGGTCATATATTGTATGATTTCATTTATATGAAATGTCCAGAATAGGCAAGTCTACAGAAGCAGAAAGTAGATTAATGATTTACAGGGGTTAGAGGTGGGAAGAATGAGGAGTGACTGTTAATGGCTACAGAGATTTTTTTTGGGGGGTGCTAAAAATTTTCTGTACATATTGGTGGCGTTGCATGATTCGGTGAATAGACTAAAGATCAATGAATTATGCACTTTAAAATGAGTAAATATTATGATTGTGAATTATATCTCAATAAAATTATTATAGAAATTATATTTGTTCATAGTTAACTATGCTATTTTTATAACATATTTTATGGGGAGTATGTGAGTTGAGTGGCTTTGTTATAACAAAAAGTCTTTCCATTTCCAGCTATTTGTCAGCAAATTTTGTGAGCCCTTATTTCTAACAAAATGAAAAACAAGTGATACCGAACCCAGTTTCATTTTAACAATAAGTGATATTTGTCCATGGATAAAGAATAAATAATTTCATTTATACTACTTATATGTCTTTTTAATAAAATTTTATCTTTTATGTTTAATAGTTAAACTATTATGAAGTAACTATTAATATTAATAGTTTAATCATTTTTATAAAAACTATTAAAAACAAAAAGCTTTCATTTGTTAACAAAAGATACCTTTGTGCATCATCATTCTCATTATTATGTAGTGCTTCTGTAAAACTGGCAAAAGGCCAGGGTATAAAAATGATGTCTAGAAGACACTGATACAAGCATAAAAGTGGCTGATGTACCTGGAGCAGAAAGTCAGTGCATCATGATGGCTGTACTGGAAGCCATCTAGGTGGCCTGGGCTCTAATCTCAGTTTTGCCACCCCTAGGTGTGACTTTGGGTAGGTCATTTAATCTCTTGCATTCTTGATATTCTCATCTTTAAAATGATGTTTATAGCAGCACAATTCACAATTGCAAAGATGTGGGAACAACCCAAGTGCCCATCAATACATGAGTGGATTAATAAAATGTGGCATATGTATACCATGGAGTGCTATTAAGCTATAAGAAACAACAGTGATATAGCACCTCTTGTATTTTCCTGGATAGAGCTAGAACCCATTCTACTAAGTGAAGTATCCCAAGAATGGAAAAATAAGCACCACGTGTAACTCACCAGCAAATTGGTGTTCACTGATCAACACCTAAGTGGACATATAAGAATAACATTTATTGGGTGTTGGGCAGATGGGAGGGGGGAGAGGGGATGGGTATATACATACATAATGAGTGCAATGCGCACCATCTGGGGGATGGACACACTTGAAGGTCTGACTCCGGGGAGGAAGGGGGGGAAAGGCAACACACGTAACCTAAACATTTGTATCCCCATAATATGCCAAAATAAAAAAAAAATAAAAAAAAATATATAATGCACAATTATATATAAATATATATAATACACAATTGTGTGTTATATTGTACATTACATATGATAAACATATAATGATTGTCATATTCATGATCATTATTGAAAATAATTTTGTTGAATAGAGGAAGGAAGTGTTAAAAAAATGTTCTGCTCTGAGTGTCGCATACTGCATAGGACGCAGTCCTGACATCACAACGGTTCCTGAGAAGATTTGGAAGTTTGGAGTAGGGTCAGATGGTGACTCAGTGACAATTTGCTTAGAGTGGGGAGTCAAAGGTGACTTTGAAATGCTTCATTTGGGTGAGCGGGAAAAGACCATGTCATTAGCCAGGCGTGGCTCCAGGAGGACCAGGATTTTTATTATTATTTTAGTTTTTATTTTTAAAATGTTTTATTTTGGTGAAAAGATAATGAGTTGGCCTTGGATACAGTGAACCTTAAGTACCCTGTGGGATAATTAGGTGGACCAAACACTCAGGTGTGAGGTTGGGGCTGACCTCGGCAGTGTAGTCGCTTAGATTCCAGGTGCTTCTAACGTCGTTGGCATATCCATGACATGCCAGCATATCATGGCGTATCCATGACTATCCAGTATCAGCTGCGGAGAAAATGCTTTGGGGAGTACAGAAGACAGATATTTAAGGATACCACAAGAGAAAGAGATTTTGAAGATGACAGAGATGGGTCTTTGCACTTCTGCGTTTCCTGTCTTTTTGCCACACTCTGCACAAACATAAGCAATAGCTGTTTTGTCTGCAAAACAGAGACTCAAGATGGAAGGAGTACGGAGAGAATTTCTTTGTGCTAAGATTCCGTTTCCAGAAAGCATTATGACTTTTTAGAAGCCCAGGAAATTTCTCTCTCTTATTTTTAGATTCATAGCCAGAGAAAGGCTGAATCTCTAAAGAGAATGAATCAAACGTTAAGAAAAATGGTAACATAAAGAGTCTGTGCATTGAGCCTGCTCTTAAGCATTTGCTACCATGTTTATTTTGCAGGGTTCCTGTGAAGGCCCATTTGAGCACAACAAAGATGCTCTCTGGAGCTCAGGATGCTTTGAGGTCAGCTGGCGCGGGTCCTGCTGCAGGGCTCCTGCTTCCTGACAGGCTCATCTTTAGTCTGCAGAGCTGGCTCCCTGTTAGCCAGGCTCAGAGCACGCATGTCCTGAGAGAGGGAGTTCCTGGGCAATCAGTGTCGCTGTGTGAAGCTGAGTGACAAGTACAAACAAAACGTGAGGATCAAAGATCAGAAGCTGGGCAAGCCTCACCCTCTCAGCTGCTGAAAGAAAAAGGCCTGGGGCCGCTGCTTTCATGTGGTTTCCAGGATTAACAAGCAAGTGTCGGGTAATATCTGACACCTCTTAGACTTGAATAAAAACTCTTTAATGACAGGCGGTATCCAATGTTCAAAAAAGTTTATTCCAAAAGTCATTTGTAAGTCAGGTGTTTGAACCTGGAAATGCTTTCATTCTCAGGACAGGCTCTCCAAATCCCTTTACCCCTGTGGGCATTCATTCATTCTGCAGTCACCAACTGACATTTAATGAGTACTTACTTTGTGCCCAGGAGGGTGCAAAACGTATAGCAGTGAACAGCCAGACAGAAATCCTAGCTATTTCGGAGCTTAAATCCTAGTGGGAGGAGACAGAGAATAACTGAATAAGAAGTACATAGGGGGAAATGTTACAGAAGAAAAGTATTAGATAGTGATGAATGCAAAAGAGAAACAACGGTAAGGATGGGGAAGAGAAGTTCTGGGGCATGTGATTTGGGAAGGCCTCCCTGACAAGGGGCCATTCAAGCAAGAACCTCAAGGAGTGCAGGATGCAGGAGTTAGCAGGGTGGGCACATGCCGGTTGGCATCTAGGGCTGGGGGTGGAGCGTGATGCATGTTGGAAGGACAGAAAGGGGACCTGTGTGGCTGGAGTGGACTGAGCAGGCAGAGAGCCCTGCTGCTGGCAGAGTGGTGCAGAGCAGGATGGACCTGGTGCAGAGGCAGCGGGGAGATGGGTGGTTCTGGGGAAGCTGCAATGGCCACGTAGCCCTTCCGTCCACAGAGTGAGGGGCAGGTGGGCAGTGGAGTTTATGTGAGAGCTCCTGGGCTCTCCATTTTCCAGATCCATGCCCTGGGCCACCGCTGCACACCTTACCTGCTTCTGGCCCTTGCACTGAGCAGCAGAGGGCAGGTGGAGTGAAGGCAGCAGAGCCATTGGAAGCAGGAGAAGAAGGCCCAAGCCAGGGCAACAAGAGAGGGCGTTCTAGTGGCTCCTGCTACAGTGGCCACAATGCTGCTGAGCACGTGGTCAGGACTATTTCTGGAAGGCTGTCGCTGGGTCCCAGAGGTTCAGTCACCTCCGGTGCCTCAGATAGATAGATATTGCACAAAAGTCTGCTTGCCTTGAACAAGGAGCTTGGCAAAACACATCAGGGAAGAGAAAGTGGCCTTGAGTAGAAGGGACTATGGGGAAGGCTTTAGAAAGGGGAATGTAACAAAGGGGGTAATTTAGGGGGATAAACTTAGCTGCTGTATCTTGGGTGTATGACTTGGTTCCCATTAGTTGAAGTGATACTGAAGACCATGGAAAGTGTAGTCAGCGCTATCTTCAAGTATTTCTCCCTATTGACACTTTTAGGAGGGTCCCCATAGCCCTGAAACTTTTTTCCTCTTCCATGGAATAATTTTTTAGGGCTGTGCTAAGTCTTCCTGAAACAGAATGTTCTTTGCCTCCCTGTTTTCTGTCTTTATCAAACAACCAAAAAGCAGACATTTCTATTGCTTATTCTCTAAAATTCAGTTCATTTGGGTCTTTCGTTACAAAAGAAACTGTTTCCAATTAAAACAATTGATTATGAAAAGAATCCAGATCTATGGCAGTTAGCCGAAAAAAGAAAGTTACAAAGAACAAAATGAAAATCACCCATAACCCTACTACTCAGAAATAAACAATGCTAACTTGGGATTTTTACTCTTTCATAATTGGAATAATGCTAAATTCTTCAATGTGGGGCAAAGGGACTAAGCAGAGCGTCTCTCAGAGTGTTCTGCTGTATGATTTCTCACAATGAAAATACACCCATCTGTCTTTATCCTAGGCTTTCTGCTGCTACCATCTGCCTATTTCTAACTTTCCCCATGACAGCGTGGGCCTCTCATTTTGGGAAGACCCTATTTTCTCTGATGCATGACTTTTCTCCCTTCTACTCTTTTATGCATCCTAGTTGGCTACAAGCATCCGATTCTTCTGATGCACAGCCTCGGAATCCTGTCCCCAACCAGCTGTTGGCCAACCCCGAGGCCCCTTGGCATGGTCTGTTGCTTTGGCCCGACCACATGGAAAGCCAGTCTCTCTTTTCAACTGTTGATTTTTGGCTTCTTTAAGCAGCATGTCTCTCAGGTCTCTGGCCTCCAAACCACAGGTCCTGCCAGAAGATTAAATTTCCAAAAGTTTGGCCTGTCATGTCCAGATCAAATTTAAGCTGGGTGCAAACTGTTCCCTTCGTGGGAGTCCACACGAGCTGCCCCTGCTCTTTCCCCAGCAGTAGGTCAGCTAGCCTTGGCTAAATCTTTTTGCAGACACGCAAATTCAAGTCTGAAGGAAGGAGCCTGTGTTCTTCCAGGGGAGAACTTCACAAATACTGCCATCCTCTGCTCCAAGGACAAGAGGAAGACACGTGTTCTAGCCTTCTCTCAGACATTTCTTTCTGTATACGCAGGGCTGGCTTCCTTTGATCTCTGCCTCTTTGCTTGACTGAAGTTTCCCTTTACAGACATACTTCATTTGATTGTGCTTCACTTCACCATAGTTCACAGATACTGTGTCATTTACAAATTGAAGGTCTGTAGCAACCTTGTGTCAAGCAAGTCTATCCACGCCAGTTTTCTAACAGCATGTGCTCACTTCCTGTCTCTGGTCACATTTTGGTAATTGTCACAATATTTCAAACGTTTCGTGTTATTTTCATTTCATATCTGCTATGGTGATCTGTGATCAGTGATCTTCAGTGTTATCATTACAATTATTTGGGGGCACCATGAACTACTCCCATATAAGATGGTGGACTTAATCCATAAATGTGTGTGTGTTCTGACTGCTCCACCAACCAGCCATTCCATCATCTCTCTCCCTCCCCTCAGGCCTGCCTTGTGTCTTCCCTTAGACACAACAATAAATGTGTGCAGTTAATAACCCTACAATGTCCTGTAAGTGTTCAAGAGAAAGGAATAGTTGCACACCTCTCACTTTAAACCGAAAGCTAGAAAGGATTAAGTAAGGAAGGCTTGTGGAAAGATGGGCGGAAAGCTAGACCTCTTGCCCCAATTAGCCAAGTTGTAAACACAAAGGAAAAGATCTTGAAGGAAAATAAAGTGCTACTCCAGTGAACACACAAATGGCAAGAAAGCAAAACAACCTTATTGCTGATATGAGGAAGGTTTCAGTGGTCTTGACAGAAGATCAAATCAGACACAACATTCCTTGAGGCCAAAACCTAATCCAGAGCAAGGCCTGAACTCTATTCAGTTCTATAAAAGTCGAGAGAGGTAAGAAAGCTGCAGAAGAAAAGTTTGAAGGTAGCAGAAGTTGGTTCCTGAATTTTAAGGAAAGAAACCCTCTCTGTAGCATGGAAGTTCAAGGTGAAGCAGCAAGTACTGATGCAGAAGCTGCAGCGAGTTATCCAGAAGGTCTAGCTAAGGTCATTGATGAAGGTGCCTATACTAAATAATAAATATTCAATGTAGACAAAACAGCCTTCTATTGGAAGTAGATGCCACCTAGGACTTTCACAGCTAGTGAGAAGAATTCAATGCCTGCCTTCAGAGCTTCAAAGGCCAGGCCGAATCTCTTGTCAGGGGCCAACGCAGTTGGTGACTTTAAGTTGAAGCCAATGCTCATTTACCATTCTGAAAATCCTAGGGCCCTTAAGAATTATGCTAAATCTACTCTGCCTGTGCTTTATAAATGGAACAACAAAGCCTGGATGACAGCACATCTATTTTCAGCATGGTTTACTGAATTTTTAAGCCCACTATTGAGATCTTACTGTTCAGAGGGGAAAAAAAAAAAGATTTCTTTCAAAATACTACTGCTTATTGACAATGTACCTGGTCACCCAAGAGCTCTGATGGAGATATACAAGGCGATTAATGTTGTTCTCATGCAAGTTAATACAATATCCATTTTGCTGCCCATGGATCAAGGAGTAATTTTGACTTTCAAGCCTACTATTTAAAAAATATATTTCATAAGGTTATAGCTCCCATATGCTGTGATTCTTCTTTGGGGCCTGGGCAAAGTAAATTGAAACTTTCTGGAAAGGATTCACCAGTGTAGATGCCATTAAGAACATTCGTGATTCATGGGAGGATGTCAAAATAGCAATACTAACAGGAGTTTGGAAGAAGTTGATTTCAACTCTCATGGATGACTTTGAGAGGTTCAAGACTTTAGTGGAGTGAGGAACTGAAGACATGGTGGAAATAGCAAGAGAATCAGAATTGGAAGTGGAGCCTGAACATGTGACTGAATTGTTGCAGTCTCATGATAAAACTCGAATGGATGAGGAGTTGCTTCTTAAGAATGAGAAAAGAAAGTATATTCTTGAGATGGAAACTACTCCTGGTGAAGGTGCTGTGAACATTGTTGAAATGACAAGAAAAGATTTAGAACATTACATACAATTGTCTGATAAAGCAGTGGCAGGATTTGAGAGGATTGACTCTAATTTTCAAGGAAGTTATACTGTGGGTACAATACTATCAAACAAATAAATGTTTCGTGAAAGGAAGAGTCAATAGATGCAGCAAACTTCATTGTTGTCTCATATTAAGAAATTGCCACAGCCACCCATAATCTCTTTGAGGTATACCTGTATTTGCAACTGAGCTTCTAGCAAAACAAATTTCCCATTTTTTCCTGACCATATAGCTTTCGAAGGATTATTTCCTGCCCACCATCAAATGCCAACGCTAGGGGCTTTCTTCTGCTATTTGAATGCTGACCCCCCTCCCCTCCTACTCTTCATTGCTCATTACTCAGGTCACCATAAAAATAAAATAAATTCTACTCCCTCTACCCCTGCTGGCTGTCCTGATACTGGACTTGGGTTCTTTGGTGTACTGTGCTCGAGAAGATCTGGCTCCAAACATCAGTCCTATCACTTCCTGCCTACGTGAGCTTGGATGTGGTATTTGAGAAATTCATGAGTGTCAGTTTCTTTGTCTACACAATGAGGATAACCAATATCGGAGAGAGTGGTTGTGAAGATTAAATAACTAAAGAATGCCAAGTGTCTGAAATGTAAACATAAATGTGTCCTCCCTGTAAAGTTATTTCTTCATCCTGTTTCAAAAGACCACTCCCAGCCCCCTTCTGAAGAAGGCAGTCCAAATCTATTTTGCCACATTGAAAAACCAGAAATGTCCAACAGCTCTAGACCATTCCTGCTTACAGAAACTTCTTGGGGAGGCCATTGTTACTCCAGTTCACTGTTTTCCAAAGCATGTTCTGCAGAATAGTTGCTCTGTAAGTCACTGTAAAAAAAAAAGAAAAGGTTTCATAAAAAATAAATGTGAGAAATACTGCATATTGTAGCTTTCCTTGAAGAGTCATATTGCATACTTGCTTGCTAAAGTTTCTGGAAAAAGTCCTGCAGTAAAGAAATAAATTTAATCAAGTAATTTTCACACTTATGTTATCGTGGGCCCCTTTCTTACGTAAAACATTAATTATATTAATACTAAGGGACATACTGTGGTCTATCTATCCACTTGGCCCTAACCATCTCAGCCCCACTCAGCCACTTTTAGCAGTAATTCACGATTCAGAAATTCGAACTGGAGGAAGTACATTTTAGGCTAATAGAGAACAATCTGCTCTTACTTTTTATATGCCATGCATGCCGTAACACAGAAGTCAAACCTATAAACAGGTCATCAAAATAAGGCATGGTAAATAAATGCATAAGACACTAGAAACTCCCTTTCTGTAGAGGTGAGCCTCCTCTAAACCTCTAAGAGAGGCTATGCAAATAGTACAGGTCCTGATTTTACAGTCAGAAGGGAAGATACTATGGGAATCCCCGTTGGTGTATAAAAGAGTCCCATCTCACCACCAGCCTGCCTCCTAAAGGTGGCGGGATGAGGCTTATTGTTTCCTGCAGTCCCGGCACAGCTTGGGGTGGTCTGCATCAATCCTGAAGTCCTGCCCGATTACCCAGTAAAAGATGAGGCTCAGGGGGCTGAGAAATCTATCCTCCAGTGCACTTGTATTAACCTCAAGGAGGGGGGGGATTCTTTGTTCTGAATCTAGTTGCAAAAAACCAGGAACTGGGGGTAAGAGCTTCTTGCATCTAAAGTCCTGGACTCTGCTACTGCCCCATTCTTCCTAAGGAGCCATCTTTCTCTGCATCCAAGCTCCCCTTTCCAGAAGTGCTCATATTAACCAGGCTGCAGCTGGAATCAGCTAGAATCCGCACCGTGGGCTGCTGCTTTGCGGAATGAGTAGGAGCGAAGGACGAGGCTGCCCCCCAGTGGGAAACCCACAAAGAGCAGCGGCGCTTCCCTTCAGCATACACCTGCCAGTAGCCTTCCAAGGAAGGGAATAGGCTGCGGCATTTCCAGCTCCAAGGACCCCCTTGAGAGCCGCTGGGGAGGAGATCGGGAATGCAGATTCCTTTACCCTGGGGTGGGGGCGTTGAGAAAAAAGAATAGGCGAACCCAGTACCTTCCAGCCTTCCGACCCTATAAATATCCCCCGGTTAAATCAAGATTCCAGGTCCTCTCCTGGGAGATTTTGATTAGCAAAATTTTAGCTGGTTTCTAACCAGCATGATTCTGATCTTCTGGGAAAACGTGAATATTCTGGAGTGGGTCTCGACTTTCTGTTTCCCTTTCCCAGACCCCGGGCAGGGGCCGTGCTCTTTTGCAGGTCAAGGGAACACGGAAGTCGCTCTCCCGGCTCCGCATTCGCCCAGCCCCAGCCACCACTCCCGCGCCTCCAGCCAGCCAGACCCCGGCCACCCGCCTGCGTCGCCAGGCCACCACGCGGTTTCCATGGCGACCCTGCCATTCCGCACCCTGCGCGGGACTTCGCCAGACCTGCAAGGGGGCAGTCTCCTCCAGGACGTTGGGCTAAGAAGTAACTTTCATTATTATTATTATTATCATCATCATCATTATTGTTGATTAGGTTGAGTACTTCTTGTGACCATTATTAAAAATAAGCTTTAAGTGTTTTTTTGTTTTTATTTGCTTAGGAGGGGGAGGGAATATGTGTGACATGTCTTCATAGTACTTTTCCTTAACATTTTACGTTCAAATGCTTTGTGCAGACAGACTGACCGACCCCCCTGGCTGAAAGAATCCAGAAGTCTACTTGCGTAACCATTTGCTTTTGCACAGTCCTGTGGGGAAAGGGGACACTCAGGTATGTGGCTTATGTAACCGGTCATACTGAGGTGGTTTCCAGACCGTGGACATTGTGCCTCTTTCCTGACTGTCCGGTTCTGGCTTCCTCTCCCAGGGCTGCTGCCTGAGCTGAATCCTGAGGTGGGAGGTCAGGCTCTCAGGTGGCCCGTGGGAATGCCTGAGAGGGGCTGAATGTCTGAGAGAGGCTGTGCTCTCAGAGGCATCCGGGGTGAGCGCGGCGCTCAGAAGCTGGAAGGGGTATTCTAATTAACTTCCTTCATGAGAGACACACTGACTGGAGGTGCTGGTTCCTCGGCTTGTCACCCTTAGGCCTGGACATACCTTAAAAGGTGCTCAGGCAGTTTGGTCAGCGTGTTTCAGCTGGTCGGGGCCTACCCTACCAGGTCGGTTGGCTTTCCATTTTGAAATGACCTGATGGACTTTGAGGACCCTGGATGACCTCTAATTCAGGGTGCTTTCTTCCGGGCAGTTTGCTGTCCATGCTGGCCAGCAGCTAACTGGAAAATCTAGACAACTCAGAAAGCTGGTTATATGCTGGGTGGCATTCATGGAGAAGAGCGGGGGCTAGGGAAGCACGTTGCACTGCTTTCCACAGTAACCCAATGGGAAATTGTTATCATTTCCATGTTGTAGAAGAGAAAAAGGAGGCACAGAGAGTTTCAGAAACTTGCCCGGGGGTAGAGACCAGAGTCAAGCTCACCAGAGTCTGGCTTCCAAGGTCACGCTCAGTACTTTGAATTTAACCTGATTTTCTTTTGCCCTAAAGGAGCTTTTATTCATGCTCCACCCCTCTCTGCCCCATTAATTTAACCAAATTCATGCACTCGGTTTTTTGGTGAGCTGTTTCATTTCTGCCCTCTCCCACTGCACTTCAGTTCCATGGGAACGGGGACAATCACATTTGTTTTATGAAGTTCTGTTTCTGGCACACAGTAGTAGTTGGATGACTGAATAAAGAACAAAGATAGTGCTTCAGAGTTTCTGTATTTGTTGTATAAATTAGAAGAAGAAGGAAACATAAGTGACATTTACAATTTACCTTTTCTGGGCCAGGCATCTAAGTATATTTTGTCCCCCATTTATTCCTGTACCACGAAATAGGAAAATAGTTTAAGTCCCACTCCCTTCCCCCTTTTTGTATGAATGAAGAAGCAGGTTGAGTCACTTGCCTAAAGACAGCCTGAGGGCTTGTAGTGGAACTGGGATTTAATACCAGGATTGTTTGCCTGACTCCAGAATCCATACATTTTCTATTTATTTATTTCTCTATCTATCTATTGACTGATTGGGATCTTGCTATGTTACCCAGGCTGTTCTCAAACTCCTGGGCTCAAGTGATCCTCCCGCCTCAGCCTCCAGAGTAGCAGGGACTACTGGCGCGTGCCACAGTGCTTGGCAGAATCCATACCTCTCCTGTGTGCTATACCACCTGCTGGGGCATCCAGAATGGTGAAGTAGTGGACAAAGGGAAAGTAGAATCTTTTTTTCCTAAGTGAAAAGTTCACAGTGAAAATTTGACTGTAGTTGCGTTACTCTTTAGCCAAAGTCAACGAGAGTGTGTTGAGGAAAGGGGAAGCACATATAATAATGAAGGGCTGAGGCTGGGAGACTTCCTCATTTAAAGGGGATGGTTCTTTCACCTGGGTCTTGGCTTAGGGAACTTTGAACCTCAGCTGCTTCTGTTACAGGCTTGCCTGAGTGGATCTGCAGGTTGCTGTGTTTTGCTATTTTAGATGAAGAAGGTATGGTATAAGCACCAGAAACAGAACATTACTGTCTGTTGGATTTGGGCGGGGAGAGTCTTGCTGTGGAATATGTAGTGTTTTTATAGAACCTGTGTTTCACTTGCTGGTTTATTTTCCTAGAAGAAGAATCTATGTTGTGTTCTAATCATTTATCAGTGTGCATGTGGTTTGGCTTTCGTTAAAGACAACCTCTGTTTCCAGTTTGTAAGTGATACACTCTCCTAGTTTTCCCAGCCCCTCATGTAATGTGGTCATGCTTCTGTTTCCTTTCCTTCAATTCAGTTGCCACTCTTGTCCCCACTCTCTCTCAGTGTTACTGGTTTTTATACTAACCACACACCTTGCCTCTGCCATGCCTTCTGCTCTACCTGCTCTACCAGGACAAACAGCCCTGCTGGCTGCTCTGGAGAAGCTGGCATCTTTTTTATGCCTGTAGGTGGCATGTACAGACTGCAGTCTGAGAAGGGGCTGGGCGGTAAAGCTTAGTTCTTGGAAGTTATCAGTGAATTGCAAGGAACAGCTATTGATGCAATGAAGCGCTGAGCTCCAAAGAAATCTTGTTATTCAAGAAGAAAGAAAGAGAGATTTGTTAAACAAATATCTGTTTGTCTGCATATATGGACGCCACCAGTTCTGTACTGTGCTCTTAAGTAATTGCAAACTGTAATTTTAAGACATTTTTTTTTCTCTTTAGCTTCAGATACGTTCTTTTCTATGGGCACACTAGTTTATTTGTGTTTAAATGAATGACCTGTCATTCATTTAAATGTTTAAATGAATGATCAGTCATCACATCTCCAAGCGAAAGGCAGGTCCAGAGAGGCCAGCCCAGACAGGAGGGCCCAAGAGTGGAGAGCTGGGAGCCAGAGCCGTGCAGCTGAGGAAGGTGAGGGGCGCGCCCACCCCCAAGGGCGAGGCTGTGCTGAAGACGCAGCTCCGAAAGAGAACAGCTTTTGGGACCCTCAAGGCAGCTATGGTATGAAATCAGAGCTGGACAAAAAGGTCTCATAAGCAGCAAATTTGTTGTCACTTGTATAATGTATCACACGGCCCTTGGGGATGGCACACAGGCTCTGGCTTCGTCGTGCACTCACTGTCTCACTTCTAGGCTTCATTTTCCATAACCATAAAATGGGGGTAATTATCAAAGTGTAAACTGTAAGATACTATGCCAATATCAGTTTTATTTGAGCAGACCAAAAGCCATTAGCTAATTAAAAATAATCTTACCAAACAGTTATTCTGAAAGGTAAAAGCATTGTTCTGATTGAATATATCCCTCTCTCAGGGATATATTCATTTTCCATGAGCGTGAAAGTTCCATTCGTTTTGCTGTCTAGTAGTTTGCATGGAAATAAGCA